TTCATTCCTGTCACATCAGTGGAGGAAGTAGTATAAAATTGGCTGGATTGATTTGCTGTGGCAGACCTTTGCAAGTGTGATTCTGGTTTTAAAATGTCATTTTTTATTAATCAGGTTTCTAAATAGCATTTATGCAAGGGCCTGTGTTCTAGGTATTCAGATTGGTGTTGCTGGTACAAGCTGAACATCCTAATTTGAAAACTTAAAGTGCTTCAAAAGCCAAAGCATTTGAGTCCTTGTCATATCTCCAAGTGAACCACACCTGAACTCAAGTGACAAGTCCCAATCAAAACACACATACTCAAAATGGCTTGTAAATATCTTCATGCTGTACGTTTAAGGTATATACAGAACAAATGGATTTGTGTTTAGAATTGGTTCAAAGACACCCAGAACTTGTTTTCTCTGAAGTTGTAAATATGGAAGACTTGTCCCATGGAAAGAGTCTCTTCAGGGTTAAATGAGGTTTTTCTAGTCCTGTACTTCCTTTTGGAATTGAATGTCAAGTGTCGTGCTCTGGAAGCTGAAGTAGAAAGGCACTGTCTTCTGTGAGGATAGAGGTGCTTTAGTCAGTATTTATAAAGCCTGCTTTGCAGTTCTGCTTGGGTATAACATGCCTGTCAAACATCTACCCAGGCAGGGGTTCAGCTTGTTAAATATCTTCTTTTCAGTGGTGATGGCACGATGAGGAAAAACATTGATGTTTGGAAGAAATGGACCACCTTGAACAGCTTGCAGCTCCATGGGTAAGTGAACTGGTTAGACTTGGAGACAGGCAGACTGACAATATGCGTTGTTTCCTGACTGACCATCTACAGGTGGACACATACATGGAGCCACAGTTAATAGCTGCCTTATGAGTTTATTTGTACACTGCAAGTTGCTTTAAAGCAGTGGTTCTCAACCCTTTGGGGGTCAATTGTCAGATATCCTGCGTATCCAATATTTACATTATGATTCATAACAGAACAATTGCAGTTGGGAAGTAGCAATGAAATAATCTTACGGTTGGGGTCCGGACATGAGAAACTGTATTGAAGGGTTGCGGCATTAGCAAGTTTGAGAACCTCTGCTTTAAAGCCTGTAGGAGTAGTAACTGCTCAGGGCCAGCCTGGGCTACAGAGTGAGCTCCAGGAAAGGCACAAAGCTACCCAGAGAAACCCTGTCTCGAAAAACAAAAACAAAGTGGTAACTGCTATTTTTATTCTGTCAAGATGCATGTTTATTTAAATTGCCTTTTATGACCATCTCACATAACATTTGAAGCATGCATTTCCTCTCCTGTAACTAACCTTGGATTTATCAGGGTAGCATCTCTTGTGCTTAGTATTGCCTTGTTTGTGTGGCATTTTTCATACTTTTTAATTTTATGTGTATGAATTTTTCGCCTGAATGTATATATGTGCACATCATGCGTGCCTGGTGCCTGTGGAGTTCAGAAGAAGGCATTAGATCCTGGGACTGGACTTATGGATGGTCACGAGCCACCTTGTGGATGCTGGAAACCAAACCCGGTCCTCAACAGGTGCTCTTAACTGTGAGCCATCTCTTTAGCCCACACAGCCTTTTCACTGGCTCTCTCTAGAGTTTGGTGTCCTTTGTCTTTTAACATGAAAAGCACATGTCCTTCAGTGTGGAATGGGATGGTCTAGTAAAAACTGACTGCAAATTAATCATTTAATTTTGCTTATTAAGTGGTACTGGTTTTGTAAAATGGAGGAAAGGGTTTATATTTTTCATAGAAAACCACATGTATAAATAAATTTGGAGATTTTTGATAGAGAAATTCTCCAGATATGTTCTACTTGTCAAACTGTTAAGAAACGTGACAGAACAGGAAAAATGTAAAGTAGATTTCTTTTTAAAGAATGGACACCGTGACTTATGTAAGATCACATTAACTTCATTTGCAACCTTGAAGTGTTTCGTTTGCTTCTTATACAGTCTGTGTGTAATGAAGTAAGTAGGTGCTCTGTAGCCTCGGCTCTGTTGTGGTGACCTGCCATCCTCCCTTAGCCTGCAGCTCCGGATCGCGACTCGAGGTGCTGAGCAGCTGGCAGAAGGGGGCAGGATGGTGTACTCGACGTGTTCCTTGAACCCCGTGGAGGATGAAGCGGTGATAGCAGCTCTGCTGGAGAAGAGTGAAGGTGCGTGTGTGCTGGTCCTGGAGGGACAGTGAGCGTGCTGTGGCTGCCGGGGGTGGGGCGGGTCTTGGTTGTTTGCATGTACGGTTAACCTATTGCCTGTACCTCTTAAGTGAAGTGTCAGTTAAAAGTCGGTTTCTGTGATGCAGTTGTCATACTTTGGTAATTGTTGGACTCTAAAGGCTTGAGGACACAGCTTTGCTCGTTTTCCTCGGATGACAAAATGATTCATTCTGTTAGGTCCTGACTGCGCTGGTTTATGTACACGTGTTTAGCAGGGTAGACTGATCCCATGAACTGGCAGCACATTGTGAGGGACTGACATTGCTGTGCAGCGCTCACCATCGTCCGTCTCACTTCCTCAGCCTGCAAAGCTGAGTTAAGTCACTGCGCCCCTTGCAGCCACCCCTACTGCCAGCACTGGGGTTTTTTCCTCTGGACTTGTGGTTTAGGGCCCTTACGAAGGTGGGTCATGTTGTAGCTGTCTTCTCGTCACGGCCTCGTTTGCCTCAGTACCAGGTTTCTGTCAGGGTTTCATTCCATGTGTGAACTGAACAGTACCCCGTTGTCCGTGACTCCACCCTGTTTACTGGATCATTAGTGGGTGACACTTGGATTTCTGAGGCTGTGAACATGGTGTGTTCAGAGTCTCCTAGACAGCCTGCTCTCCCTGCTTTGGGATGTGCCTCTAGAGGGGCATCGCTGAATCCTCTGGTAACTGTTCTTGTGCTGAGGACTTAGAGGGCTGCTCTGTTTACTGACAGCATCATTGTACAGCCTGTACACAAGGTTCCAGTTGCGTCATGTCCTTTTCAGACCTGTGGTTGTTTTTGTTAGTCTCCATCCCACTGATTGTAATGTCTTAGCACACGGAATTACACCAAGACATCAGACAGGCACCATTTTCAAACGGTGTTCCAAAACAGAAGTTTTCATGACGCTTTTTAAAGTGCTTCAGTTTTAGAATTTTGTTGAAGTGTTAGCTTTTCTCTATTAACTTCACCTATTGGGGTTTTCTAAAAACGAACAGTAGGCTTTCTCTATGTTTCAGTATCAGAATCCAGCAGTGTCCATCCTCACAAACATGGAGGGAAGTTAAGCTTAATTAGAGAAGTGCACTCACACATCCCAAGGCCCGGCGCCCACTCCCTGCCGTCCCTGGCCTTAGGTGTGTTGCGGCGCTGGCTGGTCTGGGTTGTGTAGTCAGCAGCCCTCAGCCGAGTCCTTTAGAGTGAAATTTAATACATGTATTTGTATTCTTACACATCGGCCTCAGTAAAGATAGGATTTTGGAACAATTGTTTTGGTAGTATTTAACTTCTCAAAGGGGATGTGGAGAAGGAAATGATGTCATATCCTCAGGCATTCTGGGTCGAGTGATAATACCTGAACTTGTGAAGGGCAGTGGTGGTGCACGCCTGAAATCCCAGCACTGGGGAAGGCAGAGGCAGGCGGATCTCTCTGAGTTGGAGGTCAGCCTAATCTATAAAGCAAGTTCCAGGACAGTCAGAGCTGTTACACACACAGAAAAACTGTCTCTAGCTGTGTCTCTCCCCCCCCCCCCAATTGAACTTGCTCAGATTTATGTCTGTGTTAGCTGTACTTTTAGGAAAAATGGGATTCTGGTAACTAGAATGATAGACTTCATGTCTACACGGAGCTACAGCCTAGCCCCTGAGCTCTGAGATCAGTCAATATGCTGATCATTTGTAGCTAGTTTCTGTCACTGCTCAGTCTCAGGGCTGAGCCAGGAATAGGGTCTGTGCTCTCAAGAGCAGGAAGAGGGAGGCAGAGGAACTGGATTCAAGGCCAGTCTGAGCTGCACAGGAGTTCCTTTTTCAAAAAGCCCAGGGTTGGGGATGTAGCTTGGTGACAGTCCTTGGCTGGCATGACCAGCCCTGGGTTTGATCCCCAGCAGTGCAGAAACCTCGGAGGGTAGATGTAGGATTTGAGAGGTTCACACTCTTTGGGGTGCCTTTTTATTGATATAAAAAAGACTTTGGTTTCTTGATGATTGGTGATTAGTTTTCTTGACTAGTGTGGATACTAAATGCAGCTATTCTCACCTCAAGCACAGGCTTGATGGTTACAGGGGCCATCCTTCTGTCGTCAGGCCTGGCATGTGGGCCTAGTCCCAAGCTTTCAACAGAAAGTGCTTAGGTTCTGGGAAATCAGGGAATGTCAAACACTGAGAGTTGACACATGCTTGGTTAAGCACTGGAGGAGTGTGGTCGGCGCTGTGGCTGGAGGGAAGGTGGCTCACAGCATGGAGACTGCAGCGGGGTGGAGCTCACCCAGGGCCAGCTCTGCTCCTGGGTGCAGCTGTTGGCCCCGCTGGGTGGAGTGGAGAACCAGTGTTGGGTGTTGTGTTTGCTTTGAGCGAGGAGGTTCTTAGAGCAGGCTGCTTCTGTGAAGCAAGTGTCCCAGCAAGGGTCTCTTTGGTTTGTTTATGCAGTTATTCGGGGTTTTCTTTGCTTCTCCAAGGAGCTTTGTTATTCTTTTCCACAAGTGTGTATTGGTAGCTACTTAAATGATGACTGATGTCCCCGCTGTAGAGACCACAGGACCGGAGTGTGTCCCCACTGTCCTGCTGTAAGGCTGCTCCAGCTGTGCCTAGTGGGCAACTTTAGAAAACCTCCTGGGATGTAAAACTTCGATTGGACTCAATTCTGGAGCGTTAGACAAAAAGGCAGGAAGATGCAGATCACCTGACCAGTGCGTGTATTGAGTTTTCATTTGCACTTGAAGAATACAGTTAAATGACTTTTAGTAAAGTTACAGAGCTGAGTCTGTCACCACAGTCCAATTTGAGGCCATTTTTGTACCCAAAGAGGGTTCTTTGTGGCCATTAGTGTTCACTCCTGGACATTGTCAGAACGGAACCGTGGTGTATGGACTTGGCTGTGTTTCTCTGAATGGCCAGTGCGGCAGCCTTTGGGGTTTTCCTTGTGTGTGTTCCTAGGTGCTCTTGAGCTTGCTGACGTATCTGCTGAGCTGCCAGGACTGAAGTGGATGCCTGGAGTCTCCCAGTGGAAGGTAAACATGCAGTGAGGGCTTTAGTTCAAAGGACCAGGGACACCTGAAGGATTTAAGACCCATAGACGTTGGAAAACATTCGTGTTTGGGTATTGTGAATCAGTCATCACCTGGTTGTACAATATAGAATCCATGCAGATTGTATTTAAAGACAAATGCTATATTGCATGTATTTTTTTCCCTGTTTTTGTTCCTCATATAGAACCTAGCTTTGCTCTCATCCAAAAATTAAAACCTTGCTACCTTTTTGAGTTTGTGTGTGTGTGTGTGTATGTGTGTGTGTGTGTAGGGGTTCAGGGGAGTTGCAGTTCAACCTTGCTTTTATAAACAAACAATTCCCCTTTGATCTTCCTGCCCAAACAGTCTGAGATGTGGTTGTTTGGTTGGTTGGTTGTTTTTTTAAATAAGTAAATAACCTGGTCAGAAAGCTTGATGATATTTATCCTGGACTTGGGGGTGAAGGTATTTCAGGATTTTTAAAAGATGCTATATAAGTTATTGCCATGCATATTTTAGCTTTATCTTTGCAAATAGTCTGATTTCTCTGAAGAGACAAATTTACCCTTTGTGCTGTGTTCCTGTGTATGGGTGTGCTCTTCATGGTAGCAGTGCTGCTGGTCTCTCTGCAGGTCATGACTAGAGACGGGCAGTGGTTTGCAGGTTGGGATGAGGTTCCCCAGGGCAGGCATACACAGGTTCGACCTACTATGTTCCCACCAGAAGACCTGGAAAAACTGCAAGCGATGCATCTAGAGCGATGGTGAGTCTGTGGGCACTGTGGGCTTTGGAGTGGGAGGGGGTCTGTTGAGTTGGTGAACCTGGTACCCAGTGCTTGCTGCTACAGTGTCGACAGATACTGAAACTGGCTAGAATCTCAGAGTTAATGCTTTGGAAACTGCATGAGCTTTTCACCCTTTACTCGTTAGTGTTTAGGAATTGTACAGAGCAGTGGCTTCATTACGATAGTTCCATAAGTGCTGCAGTGTACCTTGATCATGGCAGTATTCCTCCATCTGTGTTTGATTGCTCTTGTCTTCCCCCATTCCCTCCATGAACTTTTCAGACGATATGAGTGGGAGCTCTTTGTGAGGGGGGCTGAGTTTGCAAGAAGGGAAGATCAGATCACTTGTATGACGTTTTATATATGTATATATACTGTTTTAGCCTCCGAATACTACCACATCATCAGAATACTGGAGGGTTCTTCGTGGCAGTGTTGGTCAAAAGAGCACCAATGCCATGGAATAAACGTCAGCCAAAGGTAAGGGCTTTAAGTCAAAAACGTCTAACAGAACATGTGACCTTACTACTGTTCATACAAGACAAACCCTGTAAGAGTTAGTTCACTTGAAATGCAGAGCAAAGTGGAGGTTTTGAGGGGTGAGGATGTTTAGAGAGGCTGAGCCTGAAGGAAGGGGGATTCATCTGAATTTCAGATTTTCAAAAAAGCAGGCAACTTCTCACAAAGAGATGGTGAGAAAGGCCATGTGTGGGTAGCACATTCTGTCTCTGTTGAAGTTCAGCTACTTAACAGCAGTTGAAATGATGTGAGATTGACGGTGGGCAGGACTAGGGGCTCTGACATTCACTGTCCTCCACCGTAGGGTTCATTCTGCCCGTGTGTACTGGCATGAGTGAAGCTCTCTCTTCTCATCTGTGAGCAGTCATGGGAAGGGGTGTCTCGTGGCCTTCCCAATCTCCATGTCTTTCCCTTCTTCTTTGTTAGCCTAGCCGTTACTATGGCTCTTAAGTCAGACTTCTGTGGTTATGGACTGTGCCTGGAATTGTTGTGCAAACCTCTGTTTCTTAAGATCATCTTGGATTAGGACCAGGACTGTTCAGCTTTGGAAAAACAAAGAGGAACTGTTTTCTCAAAGGATTGCAGCCTACTCTGGCCACAGTTACAGGTGGCCGAGGGTAACTGTTCGGCTTCTAGCTGATAAAGGCAGAGACCCTGTGTTCACCATGAACTTGGTAGGCTAGGAAGCTCCTCACTTTGAGACTGTGGGCCTAACCCCTTTGGAGTAAAGCTTAGAGCTGTACTCTTTCCTGATAGAGGTAGGATGCCAGCCATAGGCGTCCTTTTCCAGTAGTGTGCTTTAAAAAAAGAAAGAAGTAAAATTAACTAGACTAATGCATTTTACTACTATTTACTAATGCCAGTGTATTTAAAAGGCTGTTTCCAAGCAGTCAGTTGAGGTTTCCTTGTGTTTTCTCACAATGTGTTTTAACAGTGGCTTGCATTTAGTTAGTTATTTGGAGCTGGTGTTGAAACTAGAGTCCTTTCCTATGCTAAGCACATGCTCTACCAGTACCAGTCAGTTCTACCTCTAGCTCCAGTAGTGCCTGCCCTGGAAATGATGCATCTAGTTTGTACTAGTGGCGTTTCTGTGCTCTGTATCCACAGCTAGTAGTTCTGAGCTGTTGGGAACAGTCCAGAGGCTGTTGAGAGTGTGCTGTAGATTGACCCACACTGAAGTGCTTCTGGCTTCATGCTACTTCTGCAGTGTAAAAGGGTGTTTTCCTCTGATGAGTTGTCTTGCTTTTTAGAGTATGTTGTGTCATTTGCAGGGTTCTCTCTCTCTCTCTCTC